TCTGAATAAAACTCAAATAACAGATGAAATAATCAAGAATCAACAAATGAGACTGCATCCAATTAAAAAGTTTTAACACCACAAAGGAAACAACCAACTCAGTGAGGCCCACTTACAGAATGAGAGAAAATGTTTACCAGCTACTCTTCTGACAGAGGATTGATATCTAGAATATAGAAAGAACTAAAGAAAACACCAAGGAAGGCCAGGGATTTAGCTCAGTGGTTCCGCTGCCTGCTTCACAAGCTCAAGGTCTCGAGTTCAATCACTGGTACAAAGCAAACAAACAAACAAACAAAACACCAAGAAAACTAATAGCCCTATCAATAAATGGGTAATGCTAGTTGTAGTGGCCAATGCCTATAATTCCAGCACTCTGGAAGCTGAGGTAAGAGGATGGCTGCAAGTTCGAGACCACTCTGAACTACACAGGGGGACCCTGTCTCAAAAAACCCAAATAAATAAATAAATAGGCAAATGAATTGAGCAGACAGTTCTCAAAAGAAGTATAAATTCATAATAGCCAAGATATGGAACAAGTCTAGCTGCACATCAACAAATGAATGGATAAAGAAACTGTGGTGTATATATACAATGGAGTTATTCAGCCATAAAGAACAAAATTACAACTTCTATTGTTGTTCAACTTTAGTTACCCTCGGGAATAAACAGTTTGCAAGTCAAGGGTGCACTGTGTGAAAACTGAAAGAAATGGAGATGACATCAGGTAAAATAAGTAGGCTCAGAAAGACAAGTATCACATATTTTTCTTACTATACTGAATCCAAAAAATAAGTGGCATAAAAGTAGAAAGTCTACTATCAGACAAGCAGAAAGGAATAAGAGAACAGGAGGAAGCGTAAGGGAAAGTAAATGGGGGGATAAATGTGATTAAAATATGTTATATGCATTATGAGAACACTACTTTGGAACCCAGTATTTTGCAAAATTAATATGCACCAATAAAAATATATTTTAAAAAAGAAAAAGAAGTCAAGCTACAAATGGGGAAAGAGAAGCGCAACACAACCAAGGGACATCTGAAGTATAGCTGAAGAACTCCAACAAATCAATATAAAAAGACAAAACACCATACTAAAATAATGGACAAAAGTCACTAAAAGGCATTTCACAGAAGAAGGATGTAGGGCCAACAAACACATAAGTACATGTAAACATATAAGTAATCGAGAAAATGCAAATCATGACAATAATGGGATATCATTTTTTAAAAATCTAAAAAGCCTAAGGGCTGGGGATTTAGCTCAGTGGTTCCGCTGCTGCCTCGCAAGCACAAGGACCCAAGTTCGATCCCGGTACCAAAATAATAATAATAATAATAAGCCTAAAAATTCTAAGGCTATAAAATATGTATCAAAAGGATATGATATCCACTGGTATAATTCAGAAAAATAATTTGATATTATATTTTAAAGCTGAACTGAACTCAACAAATCCCAAAATAAGATCAAAAGAAATACTTGGACACATGTAAGAATATTTCAAGCATGGAAAAAGCCAAAATAGTATAGTAACAGACGAATATACAATATGAAAATGAACTCTAACTACATGCAATATGAATTTAACTTTAAAATATATTAAATAGGAGAAAAAAGTAAATCACATAATAGTACATACAGTGTGATAACTTTGTATAATTAACAAAAATAATTAAAACTAAACAATACTCAGGTTGGGGGGTGTAGCTGAGTGGCAGACTGCTTGCTTAGCACATGTGAGGCCTAAATTTGATTCCAGCATAAAGAAACAAACAAATAAAACCATTCTTCATATCTATACATGTGAAAAAACAGCATTTTCAGGAAATGATAACACAAATTAGGATAGCATCACCAGAGTTAGGTGCAGGTCAGTGGGATGGGACAAAAGAGAACAGAGCTATTTCCCCCATGTTTGACCTAAGCATCTCCCACCATGCGGCAGCGTGTGATCAGAGTAAGAATAAACCATGCTCTGCTTTGGGGCACACATCCTGATTAGTCTGAGCTATAACACATAACACCTATGAATACCTGGCCTTAGTGCACAGTTCTAGAAGAAAGTTTGGGATCTTCTGCTTGTGAGGCAGGTGGCAGAACCACTGAACTAAATCCCTGGCCAGGCAATTTTTTTTTTTTTTTAATGTTGAGAAAATTCAGCTCTCTCCCCCTACCTAAGCATGAAAGAGGAAGCACTTAAGTAGTCACTAGAAGTTTTTTTTGTGAGCCCAAGGATGAAGCCCAAGGATGTCATACAACCCGACCACAGGACATTAGCAGTGCAGTAGTGAGGAGACCGGATAAGAATGAGGGTGTCAATGTTTTTACCACTCCTTATGGTTTTTCACGAAGGCCCTACACACAGAAACTTGTAAATGGCCTCTGTACATTTCTGCTTTCAACTGTCAAAATGCAAAGCACTTAAAACTCTCAGCATTAAAGAAATGAAATCTTGGGCCAGGGATTTAGCTCAGTGGCACTGTGCCTGCTTTCCAAGCACAATGTCCTGAGGTTCAATGCCCAGTACCAAAAAAAGAAAAAAAAGGAAAAAAAAAAAAAAGAAAGAAAGAAATTAAATCTTCAGAAAATATTCATTTATGGAAGAAAGTCTTAGGTTCCATTTGTTGCAAACTGTAGTTTAGGGTCACATAATCTATTACACTAATCAGAAATCATTTGGCAAAAAAAAAGACTAAATTTGGAGGTAAAGGAATTTAAGATTAAATCATTTTTGCATTTAAAATTTAACCTAGGAATTATGAGATACAAAGCCTGAAAAACTAAATTAAAAGAAATAACTAAGTAATCTGTGTATCAAAGGGATTCTTCAACCTGTTATGTATCATCCATTCAATAAAGACTAATATTTGAAGTATTTAGCAACAAAAAAATTGTTTTTCAAAATATTTTTATTTTCAAAACTAAAATTTCAATAACCAGATCCTTCCCTTTTTCTAGCCAATTTTAAATATCTAGGGAGTAAAATAAGTTCTTGGCATGTACAGATTTCAGGGTTAGTTAAGATGTAATAATAGATTCTGATAGCCATGCTCAAAGTTGTGTCAACTTGAAAATAAACAAGCTCCCCACAGATATACTACATTCCCTACTTTCTCAACTCCTGCATCTCTTTATGCATTTGTTAGCCCTTTTTAGTGTAGCTCTTCTACTCACCTGTCTTCCACTGATTGACTATTCAATTATCCTTTCTCTTTATCTCTTTCTGTACATGTCTTGTTTGCTCTGAATAGGTCCTAGGTTATCTATGTACTTTCTCTATCTTTGGTTTTCCCACTCTTTTAGTACCTCTTCATCCTTCTTTACCCTCCATTCCTTAGCTTGCCATGTTTTGAATATTTTTCCCCCTCAAAATTTATATGTTACATCCTAAGCCACAAGGTGTTGGTAGTAGTAGGAGGAGACTTTGGAAGGTACTTAGGTCATGAGGGTAGACCATCATGAATGGAATTAGTCCCCATATAAGACAGTCCCCAAAGAAAACTTTTGTCCCTCCTAGCACATGAAGATGCAGCTAAGTATCAATAAGCCAAAGAGGAGGACCTCACTAGACACAGAATCTTCCCTGACCTTGGTCTTCTAGCCTCCAGAACTCTGAGAACTACACTTCTTTTATTTTATGGTATTTTCTTACAGCAATCCAAACAGATTAAGATATCATAATACTTAATTTTTGTGATATAACTATAGAACTGAAGTTCTTAATCCCCGCTTATCATTTTTAGGTAATCATTTTTTATTTCTAACTTTTTTCTACCTTTTAAATTAATTTCTGTTGTGTGACCTGTGCACTAATTATTCAGTAGGTCAGTGTCATGATAAGATGCTGCTTACTACATGATAAAAACTTTACAAGGGTTTTAAATCAAAAAAGTTAGTCCTTAGACAATGTAAATTAACTTTATGGATTCACAGATCTATTTTTTTTTAAAAAAAAAAAACAGCATTAGGGGGCCGGGGATTTAGCTCAGCAGTTCGGTGGCCTGCCTTACAAGCGCAAGGACCCAAGTTCAATCCCTGGTACCAAAAAAAAACAAAAAACAATAAAAAAAAAAACCCAAAAACACAGTATTAGGATTCTAGAATACTCTTATTTTAAAGATTCTCCTGTAAACTTTTTTTAAAATTCAACTTTCCTTTATATAATTTTCTATTATATGGATATTGTATCTAATTTGAAAACTTAGACATGTAGTAACTTTAGTGGGTGCCTAAATTGTGATTTGGCTTTGACACGTCCATGATTTTATTACTAATTTGGAATCCTAATCACCATAAAGTATAACTAATAACATTTCACAAATGTATGAATTTGAAATAAGTCTACATAGAGAAAAAAATGAAGCACAGAGAATTAATTCAACAAAATCAAACAACCAATAGAAGAGCAAGGATCAGAAACATGAATTGTTGGTTCTTGGAATATTACCATTAACCTCCTTGCTTCTATCCTTTATGATTTATTGTTTGATTCTTTTTTTAATAACTCTAATTTAATTCTCTATGAGTACAAATATAGGAAAACATTTCCATTTTGAGATACATTTAAACATTTCTCTTATTGTACGGTCTAACAATGTTTTTCATTGAAAAGTTTAAAATAGGTTCCTAGACATATATAAAGAGAAAACAAGGTTGTTTTATGTTAGTTTTAAAAAATTAGTATTAAAGTCAACTAGAAAACTTCATAATCTCATCCACAACTTAGATATGTTTCACTGGAGATAGAACAGCCATATTAAAGTACCTAAAATTTTACCAAACAATGTTCCCCAAGCGTTGCAATTCTTTATATTGTTAAAGAACGTCATACATGACACCCTCAGACAGTCGGTCACTGCCGACTAATCTCAGCAGGGACTTATACTGAATAATTTCCCTTTTAGCCATGACTCTAACTTGACAGCCCTTGGCAGGGCAGCATGGAAGAAAATGATGAAGAGGCATTGGTAACATAAACTAAGCTTATAATGTACGTACCTGTCATATGCAGCAATCATAAAGTTGAGGAGGAGGCTGATAGACTGTTCCACACTGATTTGGTGAGTAGAAGGAAGGCGCTTATTCAACTGATAGTAGATGGATGAGATGACAGTTTCAAGGCGGGACACACTGATCTCGGTGGAATGGTCCAGTGTATTAAGGCCATTGTCTCGGAAAGCTTCAATCATGTTCCAGATATCAACAAGATGAACTAAAGCATAAAAAAAAAAAACTTTTTTTCAACAATTTTAAAGTATAGCACCACCATCACAATTAGATACTTCAGGGCTGGGGATTTAGCTCAGTGGTTCCGCCGCCTGCTTCACAAACACAAGGACCCAAGTTCAATCCCCAGTATAAAAAACAAAACAAAACAAAACAAAACAAAAAACAATTGGACATTTTAATTTTATCAACTAGTTTCTAAGATTAAAAAGAAAAACTCTTTAGCAACAATGAGCAATATTGTGTGGCAGAATAGAGAATGTCAATCCAGATGACATCAAAGTGCCACCACAGATCAGAACTGATAACCTACAGACTTTATATCCAAGCAACTGACATTTCAATTTTTGTAAAAAGTGACCCATGCAATACATGTAAATACTTGACGCCTTCTCCCGCCGGGAGACGCCATTGCTCCAGTGCCAGGAAGGTAGCCTGGATAGCCGAGCGGGCACCCTGAACCCCCATAACTCCCCTTACCCTACCCCACCCCCTGCACACTCTCAGAACTCCTGATTGTGCCAGCCTTTGGACCCACTCTGCAGAGGCAGAGGTGGTCATAAAGGGTATTTTCTGAGCTCCCAACTTTGAACATCTTTAAAGAAAGGGCTGGGAAACCTGTAGTAGAACGGTGTGGAATTCAACTGTTCAGAAGGTTGGGGAACTCAATCTGGGCCTTGCAGCCCGAGGTCAGTCTGCGTCGTGGGGTTCCGCCATCAGCTAACTGAGATCAGGGGTCTTGCATCCTCGCTCTGTCTGAGCCATTAAATGGTAAATATACTATATTGAAAAGTTTGTTCACTGCAGACATGTTCTGGACTGCTTCTTGATTTCAATTTAATTCAAATGGTTTAAGGGTGATAGACTAGTGACTACCACAGGTGGTCAGTTTCCAAGTTGTGCTTGATCATAATGTGTTGCTGTTTGTATCAGTAGGGATAAAGGATTGTGGTTGATTGGATGAGCTGTTTTCTCTGATGTTATGAAGATGAGAATGTCTGTGGGTCGTTAAGAGACCCAGAAGCTAGGGCGCAACTATATCAGGAAAATTTGGGTGATAATCCAGAGATTAAACCAAGGACAGCCCAACAACAAAAGTAAAAATGAGAAAACACTTAAGCAAGACACAAAGACAGACTTCCAGTTCACCAATTGCAAACAGTAGGGCAAATGAGGATGAAAAGGCCGATAGTGAACCACCAGGACACCCTGAACTCAAAGCACAGGAAGTAACAAAACAGATCAATCAGGCTCTAGAAAAATTCAAAACAGAAATAATTTCCCAGATAACCATAGAGATGGTGAGCAAAATGAAAGTTGTGATTCAACTCTAGAGCAGAAACTGACAAAAAATAGATGAGCTCAGGACCACAACAGAAGCCATGAAGGCCCAGCATAAGAAAGAAATGGAAAAAATAAACGCCCAACATAGGAAAGAAATGGAATCCATAAAACAGATTCAAACAGATATCCAGGAGATTAAACACTCCATCGAAAGTGTACCCAAAAGAATAAAAGAATGCGAAGACAGACTCTCAGATATAGAAGATAAGATTGCAGTCAGTGACCATGAAAAGAGAGGTCTCTTAAAAACAGTAGGGGATCATGAGAAATCAATCCAACAACTCCTAGATGAGGCAAAGAAGACTAACATAAGACTGATAGGAATACATGAAGCAGCAGGAGAAAGTACAAATGACTTTAAAAAGCTGTTCACAGAATTAATGACAGAAAACTTCCCAAACAGAGGGGAAGAATTTGACATTCAGGTAACTGAGGTATATAGAACCCCAACTAGCCAAAATCAAAAAACAAAAATCTACACCTAGACATATAATAATCAAGATCCCAGAAACCCAAAAGAAGAACAAAATACTGCAAGCAGTAAGAGAAAAGAAACAAATCACATACAAAGGAAAGCCCATCAGAATCACAGCAGACTTTTCAACACAAACCCTTAGGACAAGGAGAACCTGGAGTGAGATATTTCAAGTACTAAAAGAGAACAACCTCCAACCTAGACTGATGTATCCTGCAAAACTCTCTTTCAAAATGGATGGGGAAATAAGATACTTCCACAACAAAGAACACCTGAGAAACTACATGAATACCAAACCAGCACTACAAGCAATTCTAAACAAGATCCTAGAAAAAGACAATGAAGGCAACAACATCATGAGGCCCAACAGAGCAAATCAAATAGGCAAGGCAAGAAACTAAAAGGAGAAGGTGAAAAAGTAAAGAGTCAACAAAAGGCCAATAACATGTCAATAATAAGTCAGTACATATCAGTTATAACCATCAATGTCAATGGCTTCAACTCACCGATCAAGAGAAATAGACTGGCAAAATGGATAAGAAGCAAAATCCAACAATATGTTGTATACAAGAAACACACCTAGTGCAAAAAGAAGAACATAGACTGAAAGTGAAAGGATGGAAAACAATTCTCCATGTGACAGGAGCCCAGAAAAAACCAGGGGTAGCAATCTTATTGGCAGACAAAGCAAATTTCAACCCAAAACTGATTCCAGTATTACTGATGTAGGACGGTACTGTATCAAACCTCTATGAACGTAAAATATCTTATACCTGCTTTATGATACATAATAGTGACTGTGCTTTATCAGAGCTATTTTTAAAGATATTACTCTAGAATGTTCTCTTTCCAGATGATGACTAAAATGCTAATTAAAAAAATGGTGCCAGGTACCACAACAGCAACAGAACCTTGCTGTTATCTGGATATTATTCTTTTCTTTGTTTTTTTGTTGTTTTTTTAATGGAATGTGCTGAATGTCTATAATTTTGTTCAGATGACTGCAGAACCTGGAGAAGCTGTTGCTGCTATTGATGCATAACATACTGTTATTATTGGTCTTTTTATATAAATATAACTATACATATACATATATATAATTTGAATTTTTGGAAACTTTAACTGTGCTGTCAACTTTGGAAAAAGTTATCCCAATTTGCTGTGTTGAGTTGGCATTGTACAGAAATGGACAGCCATACTGGTCTAGAAATGTTAATTTTTTTAATTTTTATTTATTTTTTTTCCCTTTGTACAGGGGTAATACACTGTATTAAATATGTAAGATCATATCTACGTGGGTTTGATTACAGAAACTAATAAAGTATTCTCTACATAATAAAAAAAGAATAAGATAAGACTACAAGAGCAAGAAGCAATTTAAATATGTTCAGGGACCATTTTCATCTTCAAAATTAAGGATTATTTTAATCTTATATCATTGCCTTTTCTCTTTTACTTTCCTTTTTAGTTTTATTTTAGGATTCTCTATTTTTAATGTTCATACAGAGATTTCTTTAACTGAAATGCCAAATAGTTTCTCTGGTGTGAAACACTATAATAGTACACAGGATCCTAATGAGATAATTAATAATGTGAAATAGGAAGTAAAGGGCTAAAGGTGTAGGGAAAGTGGGAAGGGTGGGGGAAAGGTAATAAGGGAGAGGAAAAAAATATGAGAAATTGAAAAAATGGAAATGAAGTGTTTGTAAATGGGGAGGGGAAGAGGGGGTGAAGGGAAGGCAGAGACAAGGGGAAAAAATGAGAATCAAGACCTATCATGTAAAGGTACAGGATCCCAATAATGAATGCAACTGTATTGTATACCTAGATTGTACCAGTAAACTCAATAAAAAGAAAAAAATACATGTAAGTACTCATTATAGTTAACAAAAAAAGTTTTTAAAAAACAAGAGCAACTCACAAGACCTTCACCTTAATAACTTTCTATATCATCTTGAGTCACCTAACTTTATTACTGTAGCATAGCAATTTCAGCAACATTTACAACTCAAATTTTACTCTCTACAGCCTAAAGAGAATACAATTGCATTACGTAAAATATTAATATGCTTTATGAAACACTTATAGCCCTGAACATTTTAAGCCAAAAACAATTCATCTTTTGCTTCTTTTTTCCATTAAGAAGTTCATTTTTGTTTTAAATCTCATGTCCAATGACATGTTAGTTAGGTACTAGGATTTATTGTTCCCTTGGAAACAACTTAAAATTCTCAATGACCCATAAAAATATCATCTTCAGTCACTCATTAGCAGCTCAGAAAAAAAATATTACTTAAGCAGAAAGACAGAAAAGAGACATATCCTTGAAAGAGCAAGAGCTAGAACGACACATGAATTCAACCAACAAAAGAAGCAGAATACTGCAAATTCTATTCCAAAGAAAGCTGATATAACTTTATTTAAAACAAAAGAGTGGCTGGAAAACCACATCATCATCTCAGTAAACACAGAAAAAGTATTTGGCAAAGTTCATCACCTTTTCACAATAAACATGCTCCACAATATGGTAGGGATAAAATGAAACTTCTACAATGGGTACCACTGCCTTCCTCTCTCCCCTACCAATGCCCTACTCTCAAGAGTCAGGAACCAGATACCTTAAGCAGAAGCAATCAAAGAAAAAACAAATACAACTAATTGTATTCAAATTTAAATTCATGCTTCAAAAGATAACAGCAAGAAAGTAAAAAGGTAACCAAAAGAATGGAAGATAGTATTTGCAAACCATGCATCAATAAAAGATCCAGAAAATATAAGAATTCTTACAACTGAAGAAAAAAGACAAATATCCAATTTAAAAATGGGCAAATAACTTAAATGGATAATTATAAAGATGTACATAGAAGATATACAGATAGCCAACAAACACATGAAAACATGCTCAATACTATTAGTCATTAGGTAAATGCTAAATGAAAGTACTGTATAATGATATACCATTTCAGAACACACTATGATAATCTTATCATTTTGGGTTTTTGGTGGGGGGGTACTGGGTATCAAACTCGGGTCCTTGTGCTTGTGAGGCAAGCAGCAGAACCACTGAGCCAAATTCCCAGCCCTATCTTATCATTTTTATACAGAAAATATCAATTGTTGGTGAATATTTGAGGAATCTGAAATTGTCATATTGTTCAACCAAATTA